TAAGCATTTTTTATACTATTTGTTCCCATTTTAATCCTCACAATAACCTCATGAAGTGGTCACTATTATTATCCCATTTGATGGATGAGAGAAACAAGACTCAGAGGGGACAACAACTTGCCTAAGATTATACGGTAGCAAGTCAGGACTAGAACTCAGGTTTGTAATAATGATAACACAATTGATAAAAGCAGCTACGTATTGAATGCTTATCATGTGTCAGATACTGCTTTTTTAAAAAACTTTTCATTTTGACGTCATTTGAGATTTACAATTGGCATTGCTCTTTTAATATATACAACCCTATGTGGAAGGTGCTATTATCCCCATTTTACAGATGAGGAACTAAGACAGAGAAAATAAGTCACGTCTCTAAGGGCATACAAACTGGAAAGGGTGGAACTAGAATTGAACGCAGGTCTCTGACTCCCAGACCATGAGGCTTTGCTGCCTCCTGTTCTGTCTCCGTACACCCTTGCTGCCTAAAGTGTGGTCCACGGAACAGCAGCCTTGGCATCACCTGGGAGCTTGTTAGAACGGTGCATCCCAAGGCCTGACCAGAGCTACTGATTCACAAGCGTGTTTTAACAAGATGCCTGCGTGACTCTTGTGCACAAGAATGAAAAGCACTGTGCTGCAACACTGCTGGCAATGCACAGAATTAGCAGAGAAGAGAGCAAGATTGTCCAGACCAGGGCATCTCAAACATGTTCCCTGGGAAATCAGATGTGAGCTGGAAGAAGGTATGTTCTGCTGCTAAACTTGATAATGGTGATCTTTTCCCAATCGCAGAAAAAATTAAGTTAATGAATTCTATTTTCTCATCTTCTCTTCCATAGTTTTTCCTCTTTTCTTTGGAGCCAGATATTACTTGCCTGTTAGTAACTTTAGAAGATGACAACAACTGAACAGTAGTAAAGAAATACCTATGGAAAACTCAGAAATGTTTAATTGCTTGTTGTATTTTTTTCTTTAATTTGTGGGTTTTTTACTTCTTGGATTTGAGATTGTGATTTCATGTTGCAAAATAGAGAATAGTCATACTTTCTGTTGGTAGCTTGTTCCTAATTCACATGGCAGAATTAAATGTGAATGTCTTCTGGTCTTCCACAAAAAGCACCTGATTCCCATCTACATAAACATGAAGATCAAGTCTTCAGGATCCCTTTAGAGATCATCCAACCAAGAGGAACTTGTCATAGAAAAGTAAAGTTAGAAACTCTAATATATTTCTCATCTATCCCTCTTCCTCCAGTGAGGATCAACATTAATATCACCTGGTTATATTTTTATCTATATATTTATATAATTTTAAAATATTTTTTTCCATTTTTAAGGTATTAATAGTCACTTCCATCTGAGAATGAATGAGTGTATCAGATCTTTCCTGAAAGCAGGTTTTTCAGAGAGAGAGTGAGAGGGCACACAAAAAGGCACTGTGCTCCGGCTAGAGCAGCAGCCAGGCAAGTGAGGGGAGAGCACAGCAGGGAGATGGGGCAGTGGGAAGGTGCAACCCCTTCACAGTCTGGCTGTGTGGGCCTCAGCAGGCTGGGAGCCAGGGACTAAGGTGGTTAGGTCCAGGCCTCAATGAGGGAGAGACATCTAGATAGTAGAAATATGAATGCTTTTTATGTTCTCCTCTGTGCTTTCCTGAATATTCAAAAATGTGTACAGTGAATATTCATTCAACAAATATCTAACGGGTACCTACTAAGTGGCAGGCACTGTTCTAGGTGCTGGAGATACAGCAGTGAACAAGCCAGACAACAATCTTTGGGCCTTTTCTCTGGGGCTGGTCAGATACCTTGAAGAAGACACTTCAAGTTTCTTCTCTGGCTGGTAAACATCTGGTAGCCAGACACCTAGGAACTGAACGGCAGAAGAGGGCTGGGAATCTTAGCATCCAATACCCATAAATTCACTTAATCTCCCTGTGTATATGGAGACCTCCTATTCAACCCGCTCTGGAGAGTAAATGCTTCAGTCTTCTTTTGGGGGGAGCGGGGACACTTGAAGAAGGGGGAGGTGACCTGGGGATCCAACTGTTCTTAGCTTTCAAAATCCTGTTTACTCCCTGCCCAGGGTACAACCTGTACCTGGCAGCCCTCTTGTCCTAGACCTCTTGGGAGGCAGTGGGGACATTCCTGAGACTGGGGGATTCTGCATATGAATCAGGGGGCGGTCTCAGCTTTTCCCGCTTTGGGCTTAGGGTTCAGGTTCCTCAGGCTGGTAACTCAGTGAACGCGTGCCCATTTGCTTTCCAGCGTCTACATTTTTTTTGTTTTTGCTACTGGCTCCTCTCATTGTTGTGGGCTTATGCCTTTAAAAATCCCATCACTGTTGAGCTGGCCCTGGCCGAGTGGTTAAGTTCGCTGGTTCAGATCCCGGGCGCCGCTCATCAAGCCCTGCTGAGAAGGCGTCCCACATGCCACAACTAGAAGCACCTACAACTAAAATACACAACTATGTACTGGGGGGCTTTGGGGAGAAGAAGAAAGAAAGCAAAAGAAGAAGATTGGCAACAGATGTTAGCTCAGGTGCCAATCATAAAAGAAAAAGAAAAAAATCCCATTACTGTCATTTTAGTAGTGTTCTAGGAGGGAACAAAAGTAGATCTGTGTCTTATCTTCCTTAATGGTTTAACTCATCACTTTCAGGAAACTCTTTCCTGTACTAACTTAAATCCTCTCTGGTTACCATTCAAGCCCTTATTTCCCCCTATTTGTCCTTAAAATTAGATATTTGAATAGAATATGTATTTCTACTTGTAGGTGATTGTGATTTAGGAAGAGTTCACTGTCATTCACATCCTTTAAAATTTTAAATAGCAGGAAACAAATTATCACTTTCCTCAGCAGATCAAAAATGGGGATGAGACATAGTCATACAAGTTCAAAATTATGTATGTAGAAGGTTATACCGCAGCATTGTTTGTCGTACCAAAAGACTGCAAAAAACCTCAAGGTCCATCAATAGAGGACTCGTTAAATAAACCATGCCAATCCCTATGGTAGGATATTACACAGTTAAAAAGAATAAGGCAGATCTGCGTGTTCTGGTGTGGAAGAGTCTGTAAGGGCAGAATATTGCAAGCAGAGTATGATATCATTTGTATTTAAACATATGTATCTCTATAGTATCTATATCTGCAACAGTGGTTACCTCCTAGGAGGGGAACTGGGTGACTGGGAGACAGGGAGGAGAAGGAAGACTTGGTTTTCCCATCTATACCCTTTGCACCATTTGAATTTTATGCCGCAGTCTTATATTACTTATTTAAAACATAAATACAAAGCGCTAATGAATAGTTTTTAAAAGGATGAGCTCCACGACCTTTACCTGACATAATGCCCTTCCCGATTACTTCCACCTATCCAAATTCTGCTCCTTCTTCAAGATACATATTAATTCTCAGTTCCTTTTTGGGACAACTCCAGCGAGGGACTCTCTCATCCGATCTCTTTTGCTAGAAATTACCGTGTGTGGCAAATCATCACCCTGAATTGTTACAGCTCCTCTTCTTCTTTTTAAAAATAGTATCACCCATTTGTGTGAAACTTTCCACTTTGTATTTTCATTTCTGTTTTATGGAGCCTTTCAGGAGTTGCATCGGGGTCTTGCAAAGATGCGGAGTGGCCAGTGGGGAATACGGGAACAAGTCAAAGGGGGGAAGTACATGGGGAGGAGCTCGCGGCTCCCGCCATGCCCGCAGCCTTCACACACACTCACCCAGCAGAGATTCATGTGAACCAGTGGCCCCTTTTTATAAAATGCTGAAAGCCTGTGGAAAGGCGAAGCCTTCACATTTTACGCTGAATTAACCCAATTATCCTGACATCACAGCTAACAGCACCCACAAGGTATGAGATGTTGGGAGACAGGAGAGAACATTCTGAAGCAAGAATTACAAAAATTTTAGAGCCTAATGGGCTTAAAGATAACTAGTCTGAACCCTTACTTCACAGGTCCCAAGGCAAGGCACTGGGAGAGCTCAGACTCAAAATCACCTTTCCTCTTCAATTCAGTTGAGGAACTCACACCATGCAACTGTGAGAGAAGAGGTCTGGCCTGGCTGAAAGATGGGGTCTTTCCACAGCAAGAAAGACAGAGGGCTCTGTGCCTGGGGAAGGGGAGAGAAAGCAGGAGGCCAGAAAGAGGCGGTCGTCAAGTTCTGTCTCCTCCGTAACTGTGTCCAGGGCTCGGCGACAGTGTGTCAATAAACGTCCTCTCTATTTGCAGAAGCCTAGTTGAGATCCTCAGAGCTGGTTTGGAAGGCTACAAACCTCAGCTTCCCCTTACCCAGCACGGTCTCTCCACTTCAAGAAACCAACTGAACTTCCATTTAAAGCTCTTTAACGACATTTTCACATCCCCCTTTTCCACACCTGGAGAAGGAAAGTCAGAAAAGGAGGATGCGATACAAACGTGATGGGTTTCCCTATTTCCAGGGCATTTTCAGCCTGCTTTCCAGTGTCTACTGTGTCTGGAAAGTGAGAGTCATTTAGGGTAGCATGGAAATATTGCTGGCCTCGGTCTTGTTTCCTTCCTTTTCTTTGCTATTAAAAAATTTTCGCTGTGATCTCAGTAAGGTACCCCACTTCTGCTGGCGTCTGGATTCTGCAGCTCTTCTCTCTCCTCAGGGACACACATAGGGAGTAGGAACGCGTTTTTACCTGAGGAGAACGTGCAAGCACACGCTGAGGTAAGGGAAGCTTATACCCGAGTGGAACGAGTCCCATCCAGGCTCCGGTTTGGGAGTTCGGCCCCAGCCCGGACTACAAGTCCCAGGAGACCCCGCGGTGACGGCGCGCTGCACTGATCCTTCCCTCGCTCTCCGGACAGTGGGGTAAAGGTTCCGTTGCGGCGCACTGCGGCTTGGTGTGTTTTCAGCGGCGGTGACGGAGGCGGGGAGCCCGGCGACGGCAGGCGGGGGCGTCGGGGGCGGACTCCTCCTCCCCCGAGCCTGGGGGCGGGGAGGAGGGGAGCCGGCCCGGCCGGGACGCGCCGCGGCGGCCAGCGGGCTGGGCAGATGGAGGGCGACGGCGCGCCGCGGGCGGGCGAGCCGGTGTCGGGGCCCGGCCCGGGCGGCGGGCCGACCCGCGAGCTGTGCCGGGGCCTCGGGCGCTACCGCCGCTACCTGGCCCGGCTGCGGCAGAACCTGCGCGACACGCAGAGCTTCTTCCGCGACATCGAGGGCTCCCGCGCCCGCGGCCGCCCCCCCTCCCCCGCGAGCGCCGGCGGCCCCGAGCGCGGCCCTGCCGGCGACGTCGCCGAGCCCGGGCTGCAGGCGGGTAAGGAGGCGGCGGGCGGGCGGGCGCGGGGCCGCGGCGCGCATCCTCCGGGCTGGCCGGGGCCTGGGCGGGGGCCGCGGCGGCGGGAGCCCGGGAGGGCCGGGGGCCGGGCGGTGCGCGGGCGGCGCGGGGCGGGGGTCTGCAGGGAGCGGGGCTGACCCCAGGAGGGGAAAGCCGCTCAGAGTTCGCGGTGGGCGCTCGTGGGTCCGAGCCCCAGTTGAGGGATGGAGGAGAGGAGGGGTGGACGAGGGGCAGTCGCAGGGGGCCCCGGGAGGCGGGGGAGGCCCGGGAGCTCTAGTGGGTTGAATGTGTGTGGATTGTGCGCGCGTGTGTGGTTATGCATGTAAGTGTTTTTACACCAATCGTGAGGCAGCTCTCTGAAGAGGTAAGGAATGTACCCTGAATGGGGCTAGGGTCGCTAAAGGGAATGCTATCTGATGGTGCCAGGGGGTTTCCAGAGGTGTTGCTTGTGCTGGCGGTGAAGTTGGAGCGGGAGGGGATCGCTCTTGGTCCTGACGCTCCTCGACGTGATCCCCTCTGGGATGTGTGGGGGCCCTAAAGCGCTCACAGTCGCGCAGGGTCTTTGATCTTTCCTAATTTCTTGCTTCCTCTGAAACTGCTATAGGTGGGGAACTGGAGGATTTGTTAACTACTGCGTCTAATTAGGAAATAAACGAGGTTGGAAGGGAGAAGGGACTGGCATCCCACGGAGACGGATGCCTTGGGGACAACAGCAGAGAAAGTGTGTTTAATTTAGTGATTCTCAAACTGGTGTGTATTAAAATCAAATTAAAATTTAAAATATCTCAGGCCGTCCCACAGATCGATTGAGTAGGCCTCGTGGGTGGGTCCTCAGAATTTAAACGTAGCAAGTCCCCTGGGCAGCCTGGTGCAGGTGGTCTGCAAACCGGCTTTCAGAAACACAAATTTAGGTGCTGATAGCAAATTTGAACACGCGACTCAGAACGGAATGAATTGTTAAACTCTTTAGAGTTTGTGTGTTTGGCCCTATATTTCCAGAGTTGCATGTTTAATATCCTAAGTTTGTCTGAAACTCAAAAAATGGTGATAAAAAGAAGATAGTGTCATTCTGGTATGGTCCTGAATGATGCTGTTACGTTTAGTTGGCCTGAATGTAAATAAAAAAGCTTTGATTTTATCTCAGGAGATGAATGGGAGGAGGGGGATGACCAGCTTTTCTGAAGTTGCGGTTTTGGCATCTTCTGCCCAGAGGGTTGCTGTCTGAAAATGGACCTTCAGAGGGCCGACTTCAGTGCGGCTCCCAGAACACAGCTGTTGTAGTGTTTTCTGAGATGAACCCCAGAATGTGTACTTTCACCCTCTCCCTGAGCAGTGCTTTCCAGCGGCTTTCCCTACTCAGAAGTTCTTCTCATAGTTGTCTAAAAAGCCCTGTGCTGTGTCATTTTATAACAACTGTTTGCTTTAGAATTCCTACTGGAAGTTCACCTGTCGCTCGCCTCAGAGAGGTGGCCGTTTCCCCGGCACCTTGGTTGGCTCTTGTTTTTGTGCTTTAAAAGCCAACTTGAGAGATACAAATGTACCTTTGTATTTTGCCTCATGGCTTTTCTAGTTGACTGCATCATGAACTAATCTCTGTGTGTTTAACTCTCTTCACCCTCTGGAGTCTGTCCATCTGAAATAAAAACCATGGGAGGGTGCAGGTGGCAGGAAGTGAAAATGGACATCAGGGCAGATGAGTAGGGTCGTGCTTCCTATGTATGTTTTGGGGATGCTGTTTTCCCAGCTGTTTAGGTAATCATGTTAGAAAGTAGAAACTGCTCCTAAAAAGACAAGAAGTTCTTATTCTCCCCTTTTACAGGCTGTCTTTGCAAGGTCAAGTTCATTTGGAGACTCACCTTTCTTATAGGAATGTTGGTTTCTGATTAATAGCAACTTGGAATGTTAAGAGAAGGAACACTCAATTCTTAACCTAACAAACCTCTAGAGGGTTCTAATCGCCATTTCAGAATGGACGTGTGCTTCTAGGTTGGATGTAGCATATAGCGTTTGAGCAATTGAGTATGGGGATTAACTCTAAGTTTTTATTATTTCACTTTTAACCACAAAGGAAATGGAAAGGACCCAAAATAATGCTTCCTTCTTAATTTTGAGTTTTGTATTCACTGGGGCAGCATAGAGAGGATATATGCGTATGACGTTTTAGAAGTTAGAGTAGGTGGTCTAGAACTCTAAAATCGAGTAGCTTGGCCTGTACAAATAAAACGGAATTATGAGTGAAATTTCCTTGCTTCAGGTCCTCCTCTGCTGTCCAAATCATTGGTCTTCTTTTCACTTAACTATAGTGGTTGAGAGCCCTTCTATCTGGTGATTTTCCTCTGTCAGAGCGGTCAGAAATAATGAGGTAAAGGCTTTGAGCACCTCTGAAGAAAGGCAGAAAGGAGTGTTATACAAAGTAGCAGAGGGAAAAGTATTTTTCTTGTTTTACGATCCAGTAGAGGTCCCAGTTGTTGCAGTGCATCAAAAACTACTCAATTTTAAGAAATTGGAGTGACTCAACTGTGTCTGGTTGGAATGTGTCTAGCCTGTGCTGCTTGCCTTAGTGCTGGTCCCACCCCTTCCTAACTGAATGACCTTAGGCAAATCACAGCTGTGCTGTGCTACGGTTTCCTCATCTGGAAATGGGGAGTGTAATAATAGTACTTGTCTCCAGGGTCATTGGGAGTTAATGTATGCATGCGTTTAGAACAGTGCCTGGTGAGGTGCTGTGTAAATATTAGCTATTAGTAGTATTCAGTGAACATTTGAGTGCCTGGTATGGGGGATAAAGGGTCAAAGACATTGGCCTTGGCCTTGGGTTAGTGGAGATCAGTCTTTCCCTTCTATACTTTTCTCCTAAGAAAGAGCAAACAGTTATAGTTATCATCACCCCAGTACACCTATTTGTTTATGTTGGATGAAGGATGAAAAGGACTAGGAAGACCTGAACTTGGTCTTCAAGAAAGGCATGATCTGATCTCAGCCATTATATATGTGCAACGCGTAAAGCAGAAAAAGGGCAGAAAGCTAAGGTATGCCTAGATTTTAGGCATTTTATGTGAGTTATAATTCTTAGGTTTTTATAGTTCTTTGCCCTTGGTTAGAGGACAACTTAGTTCCTCCAACAGTCTTCATCCTCTTTTTGTCACACCTAGTGTATAAATTGGTTGCCAGAAATAAAAAGAAGAGGAGGGGACCGGCCCCGGGGCCAAGTGGTTAAGTTCACATGCTCCACTTCGGTGGCCCTGGGTTTCGCCAGTTCGGATCCTGGGTGCGGACGTGGCACCGCTCATCAGGCCACACTCAGGTAGTTTCCCATGTGGCAGAACTAGAAGGACCTACAACTAGAAGATACAGCTATGCACTGGGGGGCTTTGGGGAGAAGGAGAAGAAAAGAGAAAAAAGGTTGGCAGCAGCTGTTAGCTCAGGGCCAATCTTTAAAAAAAAAAAAGAAAGAGGAAAAGCACTAGTACATTTATTTAAAATAGACATTTTTCTTGAACTTCTTAGATAGCAGTTTGTATGGATGATAAAGTCTAAGTGCCAGAGTGACATTTGGGGAAGGGACGGACAGTTGGGGGAGGGGATTCTTCACAGCCTGGTTCCGTAGAGCTGCCATCTTCATGGCTGAGGGGTGGAGAGAAGTTGGGGTGTTGGGGTGAAAGAGCAGGAGACTGGGATGGGCATGCTTTCTGGTAGTTTGCCATCATCTGTTTAGAAGAGCTGCCGTGCGTTTCAGCATAAGCTCCGCAGAGATAGTGCTCTAATTGTGGTCCTTATTTATTACTTGTATTGCCTTAGATGAACAGAACCCATTTTCCCAAGTACATCTAAAACTTCACTTTCTCTCTCCATTTTCTTCCTATATGGATGCTGCATATACTGGTCAAAAGCAAGCACAAGCGTATGAATCAGACCTGGGTTCCTGTTCCAGTTCAGCCTCTTAAACTGTGTGACTTGGGGCAAGTTATTTAACCTACTTGAATCTTGGTTTCTTCCTATGTAAAGTGGGAGTGATACAGAATGCCACATATCGTATGGTTCCATCTATGTGAAAAGTCCAGAATAGGTAAATTCATAAAGAGAGACAGTAGATTAGTGATCACCAGGGGCTGGGAGAGAGGAGGATGGAGAGGCACTGCTGATGGCTACGGGGCTTCTTTCTGGGGTATGAAAATGTTCTGGAATTAGATAGTGGTGATGCTTGCACAACTTTGTGAATATACTAAAAAAATTTTGTACACTTTAAAAGGGTGAATTTTGTGATCTGTGAATTATATCTCAATAAATAAATAAAATAGGAGTGATAATGTTTATCTCATGAAGTTGTGACATTTACAGTAAAGCCCTTAGCACCGGCATGCATTTAGTCTGAATACATGTGGCTGTTTGTGTGTGCGGATGTAGTTGTGAACCTAGATTGGGAAGCTGGAACATGGTGGGCGTGGGGAAGACTAAGGAGCAGAAAGGTGGAATGTGGGACACAACAGTTTTGAACTGGAGCCAGATTTAGGCCCCGGTGTCTGGGCTCCCAGTCTAATTCTGCTTCCGTGACTCCTCCCTTCTTCTTTTCTGACCTGGCCATGGGAATATAAAATGCACCCTGTCAGTGGAGAGATTTTGTTACAAATGAGTCACAACCTAGGCTCCATAGCTTGCCGTGGAACCATAATTTACTTCAGTGGGAGACTTTATCCAGTTGAATGAGTATAACGCGACACTACCTGCTCAAGCTTCTTATTCCAGTTGCCGGTCCCTGTCGTTGAGGGCACCAGGCCCCTCTTCCCTGGTCTTGCTACCTCCAGCTCCCTGGAAGGAGCTCTGGGAGGCGGTGGCCTCTACAATACAGTGGCTCTGGGGACCCTTCCCGTTTACCACCTTTCCCCTTCCTAAGCTTCCTTTCCTAGGATCATGTTCCCGTTGCATCGGGAAGCCCACTATTAAAAAGGCTTGGATAATTCCATTTGCTCTTGAAAGACATT